AAATGTCATTGTGAAGCACTCTGAGGGTAATTTAAGCTGGTTTCCCGGGATCTGGCAAGCTCCCAAACCCCATAGCCTGCCCATTTTCCGCCTTAAAAAGTTTTGCGCTCTTAAACCTCCACTCTTGATCACCAATAACTCGGTTTAAAAGGCATAGAGGTTGCTTGACATTTGTTGAACATAGTGGGGTCATTCATCATTTGTTGTTGCAACTGTTTGTTGTGTGTCAGTTTTAGTATTGATGTTTTCAATGCTCCCTTCCTCTTACGTAAATATTCTTACGTAGCTTTACCGTGCATTTTAATGTGAAGTTAAAAAGCGGTTTTTTGACAGATGTTTATATGACACTTTTTGTTTCAGCCAACAAAAACGTACTCCGGTCAAAGTGTTTGTCAGTTTTGTAAAATAACGTCCGTGTAATCTCATTCTATAATGGAGAAAAAGGCTTCTCAAAGTATACTTTCCCTTGGAATGCCTGTAAGCTTTTCCTGTAGCGACGAATGAAACCCTATACTTGTCCGGACAACAAGTTATACTAATTTTGAGTGCTCTACAAACAAAAGCCTTCAAACCGGCGACGACTCTCAAAAACCGTTTTTTGTGTAAAAAAAGTTTACACGTTGGACAAAAAGTATATGTACTAGACAAACAAAAAACGTTTATAGTTCATTTTCAATATTTGAGATATAATCCGTTTTTCTAAGCGTCAAGCTATTTAAAATAAAAATAAAAAATAGGGGTACGTGACGGAAAAGTGTGTTGTTTAACCCGCTTATTTTTGACGTCAGTAATGCTGTTTTCTTCTTTTAATCCTATGGCGTGATCAAATATTTAAATATCTGTCTTTTTGTCAGTTCATTTATTATCTAATGGGAGCCCAACGCTGTTTAACCACCAATTCAAACATTACACAATTCTCAACGCGGCTAATACAAAGCGCACAAGCTCCACAACCTCCAAGAACTGGCACAGGCGTTAGAATAAACCACCAAAAGTCTAAGCAGCGAATTAAGAGGAAATTCTTGCAACAAATTTGCTCTAAATATCTCAAGACGCCGAAGAAAACACACTAACCGAGACGCTACATACAATACTCAGTTCTGTGAAGTTTCTGACAAAGGGCAATTACTAGTTCAATTGAACTTACTTAAGAACAATCAAGTCCATTTTGAGCTTAGCCGAATGTCTTAGTTCAGTATTTTCCAACAATTTACAGTAAGCTTATAATGGTTGCAGAACTTTATACCCAAGTCGTCAAAATCTTCCTCGTTACATCCACGGTCATTCGACAGAGAATTGCCGAATTCCAAGTCTTTAGTTACGGATATGGCGAAGATGAATACGGTTGACGAGTTTGCGAGACAACCGTACCAAAATGGTTTGATAATTATACGACAACACAATTTGAATTCGACTTTTCTCGAATCAACGCAGCAACCATTCATATCATTGCTTCTTACCTTTCCGAACAACAACAAGACCTCGCAGATGGAGATGTTGTTACTGTCGTCATGAAAACTCCTGAACAATTTCGGAAAAAAGAAGTCTCTAATTGCCAAATTCGTCCAGGACATCAGCTTTTCCAACGCACAGAAGTCTTCTGTATTCCTGGAACTAAGTTCTTTAGTCAGGAGCGAACTCAAAGAAAAGATATATTTGTTCATCAATTACAACATTATATAATTGTTTTTCGACCCAGAAGAAGGCTTCTTTCCCAGAAGCAATGGAGAGGAAGAAGAAGAGGAAATACAAGACTCTATCCAAGAAGAGTCCTCCGAATTCACACCAGAAGACTTAACAATTTTCCGGAATAAAAAACTTCATTTATTACTAAAACATCTTCGGGGCTAGAGGCGCAACGCGCCTGGAAGCCCCACTTACCTGACCTAAATATTGAAGATATTACATATTGTTATTTGTTTTGTAAAAGAATTTATAGAACTTTTTTAAAAAACTGTTTTTGCAAAAATCTCGGGAACATAATCCCCTCAATTTTATTGAGAAATTCGTAAACTATTCAAAAATGAGGAGCCATGTTCCCGAGATTATTGCGATTACTATATTTTTGTATGTAGATTAATGTTTTTATAATTTAATCAGAATTAAGTAGCAATTGTACAATTGGCCAAACAAGATATATCGTCGTTCTTAAAACTTCATCAAAATTGTTAAAAAGTTAAGAAGTAATGGATTTAATGCTTGCTATACTCAATTTATGTTTTAATTTTTTTTTTTATCAAATGTAACATTGACAGCTACACAGAACTTCAACAATCATTTTCTTATTTATTGTAATATACGATAACTTAATAGAGACTGGTATTGAATTTGCATAGTAATGTATATTCAAAAATATGCTTTACACATTTTTGATTTTTTTATTTCATTGCGCCATATGAATAATGCGTCTATTTTAAAGATATTACAATTGTCAACATATTGGATTACGAGTCGATTTGATCTTCATAATTTTGAATATTACACTGACTTTAAATAGAGTTATTCAAAATAATTTTAATATTCTTCTTATATTTATTATGTCGTTCCAATTTCCAGTTTTCTAATACTGTTCAAACCATTTTTCTATATATGTAATGCATCGTTCACATATAATTGGTGAACCATATTCTAAATAGATGAGCAGAGATGTAATCTATTGTAACTCAAATAATTTACAACTTAAAACAGAAAACCTGCCAGAGAATTTTCAGGGAAATTCGCTGTAACGCATATAACAACAGTATTGTCGGCCATTAAAAATGCATTTACAAATGTTTGAACCTACAGGAGAGAAAAGAAACTTAATCTTTTTTGAAATCCCTTGGCGCTTCAATAAGATTTGTATGATTATCTGGAATAAATTTCCAATCAATTGTTGGGAACTTTGCTTTTGCTGAATTTATTACTTCATTCAGATTATTGAAATGCTTCTCTTCCTTTAGGCCTGTTTGTAAAGCAGTATTCAGATTGTGTAATTTTATCTAATTCGAATTTTTCATGCAAGAACCGTTTAAATCTGTAAGTGTTTGGCCCCCATTGACTGATGTAAAAGGTTCTATTTTGCAAAACAATGGAGTATATCAGCCGAAATATATTCACTTTATATTTTTGGTAAATATATTCTTCGATCTGGTAAAAAGCCTAGAAGATCAGGAGTGTATTATAGAGAAAATGGCATTGAGAATACAATAATATGTGATCTCCTTCTATTTTCTTTCAGGAATTAAAAATAGTGAGTTGAAAAAATCTTCAAATGAATGGCCAAAATTATATGTTGCCCATAAATATCCTGTAACAATAACCTCGCGGTAATGCCTACAACACTTGCATTTGTAGCGTTCTTTCAAAATCTGTTGGTTGGAAAATGGTGTTTTCATCAGGACCTACAAGCACCATTAAAGCTAACATATGCTCATTTCAAGGTTATAGTTGTAGTCTGAAGTGTCTTGTAATAAAGTTTGTAGTCGTGTGTTTCTTTCGGTTTCTATATGAGAAATGGTATTGCGTAGGATCTTCTATTGTTTCATTTATATATCGTAATACTGGCAATTTTTTTCTAGAGGCACATCAATTTTGCGCTTAACTTTAAAGAATGACCCGGTGTCCAACCCGATTCATATCGAATAAAGCAAATTCTGGATTATAAGAATTAAATTTAGGGCTACAAGAAATGAACACTTACTTAGTAATGAGAAAAGATGCAAATAAACATACTCTGACACTCTAATATTAATTTCTGAATCGGTTTTACATCATTGAGCAATAATTATTAAATCTTGAAAATTAAGGCTGTATATGTAAGATTCCTAAAGGGATCAAAACTCTGACATAGAAAAAATTATATTTTTGAGATACAAATTGGTCGGTTTGATCTCATTGAATTAAATTTCAATTTTTATATCACTCAAATCAATTATTTGTCTGCTGATAGAGTTGTTAGATTCCGCGATAGGTGTCTTGGAAGATTTGCCTGTGTTCATCATAGTGTCTTTAAATCAAAAATTTATTTTGGAGTTAGTTTTATTGATTTTCAATAAAAAAATTTCTAAAACAGAAAATAAAACGATAAATATTTATATTTTATATAAGGATCTTATATATTTAAAATAAATATCATATTTATTTTTTTCATTGGTGTCTGTCAAAACTTTTTAACCTGCCATGGACTCTTTCATAAGTTCCATGAAATCGTCTTCGGACAATCTGGGGAAAAGTATTATGTCAGTAAGTATTTCTTTTAACATTCTTACTTAAACTCTTTGCTGTCTGTACACAATGACAACTGAGATGTTAAAGTGTCTGAGCTTCTTAGAATTCGACACATATCATGTTCTCTGTTCTTTTAAAAAGGATGAGAGGCGAAATTATCTAAGATAAGAGACATCTATGAGGGTAAGTCTTCCAATTCGTAAGATTGCAATTTCTTCGAAATGTATTCTATTCTTTTCTGTTTGTTTCTGAAGTTGGTGTTTGTCTAATATTCTCTGCATTTCCTCATTAGGTTCTTTAAACTTCGAAATTTATATATACTCATTTATAGCATTATTACTATCAAAACTCTTCTTTGGTACTTCTTATTTCCAATCTAACAACTCAGCTATCCTTTATACATACTAACTTAGACTTCTTTTATAAAATCTTTGAACGAATTGACGGTTTGGTCAAATTGGACCAGAAGTACTACAAATAACAACTAACCATAAAATGGGTTTCTTCTCATCTAGTTCTTGTTGTTGTGCAGCCCATTTTAAGATAAGTGAAAAGTTCTTACCCGACCCAGGTGGTGCAATTAGACCTGTTATACCATTCTGAGGCAAATAAGAACTCTTTCATGTATAGGCTTTATCTGAGCATTTTCTAACTTTCCTCTTGTTCTTGTTTTAAAACTTCTCAAATTCTTTGTCAATGTCAGCAAACTTTTTTCTAAAATATTTTTAGAAAAATTAAAATTTTTATCTTTTAGAAAATGTCTAGCGATTTCGCTATCTATATTTCGAGACATAGCTTTTCGACAGCAAAACATCTGTAGACCATAAAACCTTACATAATGTAAACAAGAAAGGTGAATTTTCTAAAGTTTCTGTTTCTGGGAATATGACAAGAACCATAAAACATTACAAAGAGCAGTCTTAAAATTTGTCAATGGACAGACTTGTTGACAGAGATGACGGCGATTGGAAGATGAAGTCCAACAAAGTTCTTAGAATTGCAAAAAGACACATGCGCTGTTCTTGAGATGAAATAGAAAACAGAATAAGAAGAGCTATTAAAGGACAAAGAACTTTTACATAGATATGGTTCTGAGAAATTTGACATATTCTCCACCAGAGAAGAAGAAGAAAGAAAAGAAAGAAAAGAAAGTAGAAGAAAGAGAGAAAGAACCAGAGCCAATTTCCACCGAAGAAGAAATTTGACATGTAAAAATAAAATTTTTTTAGGAAACATTTCTGGGGCGTCCCAATGGTCCAATTGTTCTCTTTCTCTTTAGAGTAAAACACTGGCTGTTAGACTCTAATAGGCTTGTTTAGCCCAATTTACCCTTGAACTTCACGAACTTCTAGAACTACATAATTCCATACTGTCGTCTGTCCTTCTTTGGTTCATAAGGGTATAACAAGTTTTGTTATGCTTTGCCTTCTTAAGGTTTTGAGAACCCTTCTGTCAAAAACTTTCTTTGACTGTTAACAAACCTTCTATGTCTAAGTCTTTTTCAAATTTTCGCACCATTTTAGTCACAATAGCAAACTTAAACTGGTTCGATGTTCCAAACTTTGCTGAATGAAGGACTTTTCAAATGGTAAGAAATAAACATTAAATATGTGGAATGCGGTTCTAGTTCTTCTTTTAACTCTGACATGTACTTGTTTACTGAAATCTATTTTACGTCATCTTTTCTATCGGATTAAAAAATATTTTTTTTTTTAAAAATTACTCAGAAAAAATTTTCTTTGTATATACACCATCTGAACATCTAAAAAGATTTGGACATTTGCAGGGAATGGTTCGTTTAGACGCTGGCATATAACAAATTCTTCTGACAATATTGTTTTATTACGAATCGTTACAATGGACCTTTCATCTAATGACACAAAGTTCAGGTTATCATCTACAACAGTCATAAAACACTCTTGTTTGCTTCTAACAATGTTTGTCTCTCTTCGGTATGTGGGAATTTGTCTTGGATTGAACTTAGGAAATATCTAATGTCATGAAATATGAGAACAAAGTTGGTTGTAAAAGTCAGATGTCAAAACATATCTGACAAAGCGTCAAAAATATTTCAGTATTTGCATATGAAGACTTCTTGACGTTCTTGACAACTACATATCTTCTGTCAGAACTTTCTAACTGATCGGAACAGGCATTGTTGAAAACCATAATGATAGTTTGGGCACATTTTCACAACTCTTGGTCTTTTATACTTTTCTTTCAACAACTCCAACTTTGTCCTGTTATAAGGACTCTTCAAAGCATCTGAGTTTCAAAAACTTTTGTTGTATCTTGGACTTTGAAGTTCATTGCAAACTTATAAGTTTTCATATTCTCTATTGAGGAGTAAACCTTTGCCACAGGTGTTTTCTTTAAGTTTTGTCATATTCGGGATATCTCTCTCTTTTTCCTCCTCCCCCCCCCCCCCCCCCACCCCCCCCCCCCCCCCCCCCCCCCCCCCCCCCCCCCCCCCCCCCCCCCCCCCCCCCCCCCCCCCCCCCCCCCCCCCCCCCCCCCCCCCCCCCCCCCCCCCCCCCCCCCCCCCCCCCCCCCCCCCACCCCCCCCCCCCCCCCCCCCCCCCCCCCCCCCCCCCCCCCCCCCCCCCCCCCCCCCCCCACCCCCCCCCCCCCCCCCCCCCCCCCCCCCCACCCCCCCCCCCCCCCCCCCCCCCCCCCCCCCCCCCCCCCCCCCCCCCCCCCCCCCCCCCCCCCCCCCCCCCCCCCCCCCCCCCCCCCCCCCCCCCCCCCCCCCCCCCCCCCCCCCCCCCCCCCCCCCCCCCCCCCCCCCCCCCCCCCCCCCCCCCCCCCCCACCCCCCCCCCCCCCCCCCCCTCCCCCCCCCCCCCCCCGCCCCCCCCCCCCGTTGTTGTTGTTGAGAGAGATGATCCGAATATTTGACAAACTAGAAAAATCTGTTGGGCAAGTTTTAAACTCCTCAATAGGAGGAATATGAAACTTATAGTTTTGCAATGAAACTTCCAAAAGTATAGATACAACAAAAGTTTTGAACTCAGAATGCTTTGAGAGCTTATACAGGACAAAGTTGGACGTTGTTTGAAGAAAGTATAAAGACCAAAGGTTGTGAAAAATGTTGCAAACTTCATTATGTATTGCGTTTCAAACAATTGCTGTTCCGATGCAGTTTTAGAAAGTTCTGACAGAAGATTATGTAGTTGTCAGAACGTCAAGAAGGCTCATATGCAAAGATACTGAAATATTTTTGGACGCCTTTTGTCAGAATGTTTGGACATTCTGGACTTTTTTTAACAACCCATTGTTCTCATATTTTCATGACATTAGATATTTCTAAGTTTCAATCAAGACAAATTCCACATACCGAAGAGAGGCCAAACATTGTTAGAAGGCAAACAAAGAGTGTTTTCATGAACTGTTCGTAGATGAAAACTGGACTTTTGTGTCATTTAGATGAAAGGTGTCATTGTACGATTCGTATTAAAAAACAATATGTTTCAAGAGTATGGTTATTATGGCCGCGTCTAAACGAACATCTTGGCAAATGTCAAAAGTCTTTTAGATGTTCAGAATGTTGTACTATACAAAGAAATTTTTCTGAGTAAATTTTAAAAAATATTTTTTTATCCGATAGAAAAAGATGACGAAATAGATTTTCAGTAAACAAGTACATTCAGGAGTTAAAGAAGAACTAGACCCATTCACATATTTGAATGTTTATTTCTACCATTTTGAAAAGTCTTCATTCAGCAAAGTTTGGAACATCGAACCAGTTAAGTTTGCTATTGTGACTAAAATGGTGCGAAATTTGAAGACTTAGACATAGAAGGTTTGTTAGCAGTCAAAGAAAGTTTTGACAGAAGGTTCTCAAACCTTAAAGAAGGCAAAGCATACAAACTTGTTATACCTTATGAACCAAAGAAGACAGACGACTATGAATATTATGAGTCTAAAGTTGTAGAAGTTCAAGGTAAATTGGGTAAAAAGCTATTAGAGTCTAAGCCAGTGTTTACTCCTAAAGAGGAAGAGAACATTGACATTGACCCAGAAATGTTCTAAAAATAAAATTTTATTTTTACATGTCAAATTTCTTCTTCGGTGGAATTGGCTCTGGTTCTTTCTTCTCTTCTTCTACTTTCTTTTCTTTCTTTTCTTTCTTCTTCTTCTCTGGTGGAGATATGTCAAATTTCTCAGAACCATATCTATGTAAAAGTTCTTTGTCCTTTAATAGCTCTTCTATTCTGTTTTCTATTTCATCTTCAAGAACAGCGCATGTGTCTTCTTTGCATTCTAAGAACTTTTGTTGGACTTCATCTTTCCAATCGGCGTCATCTCTGTCAACAAGTCTGTCATTGACAAATTTTAAGACTGCTCTTTGTAATGTTTTATGGTTCTTGTCATATTCCCAGAAACAGAACTTTAGAACAAATTCACCTTTCTTGTTTACATTATGTAAGGTTTTATGGTCTACAGATGTTTTGCTGTCGAAAAGCTTGTCTCGAATATAGATAGCGAAATCGCTAGACATTTTCTAAAAGATAAAAATTTTAATTTTTCTAAAAATATGTTAGAAAAAAGTTTGCTGACATTGACAAGAAATTTGAGAATGTTTTAAACAAGAACAAGAGGAAGTTAGAAAATGCTCAGATAAAGCCTATACATGAAAAGTTCTTATTTGCTCAGAATGGTATAACAGGTCTAATTGCACCACCTGGGTCGGGTAAGACTTTCACTTATCTTAAAATGGCTGCACAACAACAAGAACTAGATGAGAAGAACCCATTTTATGAGTTAGTTGTTATTTGTAGTACTTCTGGTCAATTTGACCAAACCGTCAATTCGTTCAAAGATATTATAAAGAAGTCTAAGTTAGTATGTATAAAGGATACTGAGTTGTTAGATTGGATAAAGAAGTACCAAAGAAGAGTTTTGAAGTATAATGCTATAAATGAGTATATAAATTCGAAGTTTAAAGAACCTAATGAGGAAATGCAGAGAATATTAGACAAACACCACTTCAGAAACAAACAGAAAGAGATAGAATACATTTCGAAGAAATTGCAATCTTACGATTGGAAGACTTACCCTCATAGATGTCTTCTTATCTTAGATGATTTCGCCTCTCATCCTTTGTTAAAGAACAGAGAACAAGATATGTGTCGAATTCTTAAGAAGCTCAGACACTTTAACATCTCAGTTGTCATTTGTGTACAGACAGCAAAGAGTTTAAGTAAGGATGTTAAAAGAATACTTACTGACATAATACTTTTCCCCAGATTGTCCGAAGACGATTTCATGGAACTTATGAAAGAGTCCATGGCAGGTAAGTTTGACAGACACCAATGAAAAAAATAAAATGATATTTATTTTAAATATATAAGATCCTTATATAAAATATAAATATTTTATCGTTTTATTTTCTTGTTTTAGAAATGTTTTTTATTGAAAAATCAATAAAACTAACTCCAAAATAAAATTTTTGATTTAAAGACACTATGATGACACCAGGCAAATCTTCCAAGACACCTATCGTCGGGAATCTAACAACTCTATCAGCAGACAAATAATTGATTGAGGTGATATAAAAATTGAATTTAATTCAATGATCAAACCGACCCATTTGTATCTCAAAAATATAATTTTTTCTATGTCAGAGTTTTGATCCCTTTAGGAATCTTACATATACAGCCTTAATTTTCAAGATTTAATAATTATTGCTCAATGATGTAAAACCGATTCAGAAATTAATATTAGAGTGTCAGAGTATGTTTATTTGCGATCTTTTCTCATTACTAGTAAGTTGTTCATTTCTTGTAGCCCTAGAAATTTATTCTTATAATCCAGAATTTGCTTTATTCGGATATGAAACTCCGGATTGGACACCGGCATCATTCTTTAAAGTTAAGCGCAAAATTGATGTGCCTCTAGAAAAAAATTGGCCAGTATTACGATATATAAATGAAACAATAGAAGATCCTACGCAATACCATTTCTCATATAGAAAACCGAAAGAAACACACGACTACAACTTTTATTACAAGACACTTCAGACTACACACTATAGACTTGAAAGAGCATATGTTAGCTTTAATGGTGCTGTAGGTCTTGATGAAAACACCATTTTCCAACCAACAGATTTTGAAAGGAACGCTACAAATGCAAGTGTTGTAGGCCATTACCGCGAGGTTATTGTTACAGGATATTTATGGGCAACATATAATTTTGGCCATTCATTTGAAGATTTTTTCACTCCACTATTTTTAATTCCTGAAGAAATTAGAAGGAGATCACATATTATTGTATTCTCAATGCCATTTCTCTATAATACACTCCTGGATCTTCTAGGCTTTTTACCAGATCGAAGAATATATTTACCAAAAAATAAAGGTGAATATATTTCGGCTGATATACTCCATTGTTTTGCAAATAGAACCTTTTACATCAGTCAATGGGGGCCAAACACTTACAGATTTAAACGGTTCTTGCATGAAAAATTCGAATTAGATAAAATTACACCATCTGAATACTGCTTTACAAACAGGCCTAAAGGCAAGAGAAGGCATATTCATAATCTTGATGAAGTAATAAATTCAGCAAAAGCAAAGTTCCCAACAATTGATTGGAAATTTATTCCAGATAATCATACAAATCTTATTGAATGCGCCAGGGATTTCAAAAAGATTAAGTTTCTTTTCTCTCCTGTAGGTTCAAACATTTGTAAATGCATTTTTATGGCCGACAATACTGTTGTTATATGCGTTACAGCGAATTTCCCTGAAAATTCTCTGGCAGGTTTCTGTTTAAGTTGTAAATTATTTGAGTTACAATATGATTCAATCTCTGCTCATCATTTAGAATATGGTTCACCAATTAATGTGAACGATGCATTATTCCATATAGAAAAATGTTTGAAAGTATTAGAAACTGGAAATTGGAACGTATATAAATAATAAGAATATTAAAATTAATTTTGAAAATAATCTATTTAAAGTCGATTTATATTCAATTTTTTGAATAAATTCAAAATCGACTCGTAATCCAATAGTTGACAATTTGTAATATCTTTAAAATAGACGCATTATTCATATGGCGCAATGAAATAAAAAAATCAAAATGTGTAAAGCATATTTTGAATATACTTACTATGCAATTTCATACCAGTCTCTATTAAGTTATCGATATTACAATAAATAAGAAAATGATTGTTGAAGTTCTGTGTAGCTGTCAATGTTACATTTGATAAAAAAAATTAAAACATAAATTGAGTATAGCAAGCATTAATCCATTACTTCTAACTTTTTTAACAATTTGATGAAGTTTTAAGAACGACGATATATCTTGTTTGGCCAATTGTACAATTGCTACTTAATTCTGATTAAATTATAAAACATAATCTACATACAAAAATATAGTAATGCAATAATCTCGGGAACATGGCTCTCAATTTTGAATAGTTTACGAATTTCTCAAATAAAATTGAGGGGATTATGTTCCCGAGATTTTTGCAAAAACAGTTTTTTAAAAAGTTCTATAAATTCTTTTACAAAACAATATAACAATATGTATATCTTCAATATTTAGGTCAGGTAAGTGGGGCTTCCAGGCGCGTTGCGCCCTCTAGCCCCGAAGATGTTTAGTATAAATGAAGTTTTTATTCGGAAAATTGTTAGTCTTCTGGTGTGAATTCGGAGGACTCTTCTTGGATAGAGTCTTGTATTTCCTCCTCTTCTTCCTCCTCCATTGCTTCTGGGAAGAAGCCTTCTTCTGGGTCGAAAACATTATATAATGTGTAATTGAATGACACATTATATCTTTCTTTGAGTTCGCTCCTGACAAAGAACTTAGTTCCAGGAATACAGAAGACTTCTGTGCGTTGGAAAAGCTGATGTCCTGGAACGAATTTGGCAATTAGAGACTTCTTTTTTCCGAATTGTTCAGGAGTTTTCATGACGACAGTAACAACATCTCCATCTGCGAGGTCTTGTTGTTGTTCGGAAAGGTAAAGAGCAATGATATGAATGGTTGCTGCGTTGAATTCGAGAAAGTCGAATTCAAATTGTGTTGTCGTATAATATTCAAACCATTTTGTACGGTTGTCTCCGAACTCGTCAACGTATTCATCTTCGTCATATCCGTAACTAAAGACTTGGAATTCGGCAATTCTCTTGTCGAATGACCGTTGGATGTAACGAGGAAGATTTTGACGAACTTGGTATAAAGTTCTCAACATTATAAGCTTAGTAAATGTTGGAAAATACTGAACTAAGACATCGCTAAGCTCAATTGGACTTGGAATTGTCTTAGTAAGTTCAATTGAACTAGTAATTGCTTTGTTCAGAACTTCACAGAACTGAGTATTGTATGTAGCGTCTGGTTGTGTGTTTTCTTCGGCGTCTTTGAGATATTTAGAGCAAATTTGTTGAAGAATTTCTCTTAATTCGCTGTTAGACTTTTTGGTGGTTATTCTAACCGCTGTGCCAGTTCTTGGAGGTTGTGGAGCTTTGGCTTTGGTTAGCGGTTGAGAATTGTTAATGTTTGAATTGTGGTTAACAGCGTTGGCTTCCATTAGATAAAAATGAACTGACCAAAAAAGACAGATATTTAAATATTTGAGATAAACCGTTTTCGTCAACGGTAACCCCCTCTATTTTTTTATTTTATTTAATAGTTACCGTTAGAAAAACGGTTTATCTCAAATATTGAATGAACTATAAACGTTTTTTGTTTTCTATATATACTTTTTTGTCCAACGGTAAAACTTTTTACACAACGGTTTTTGAGAGTCGTCGCCGTTGACTTTTTTGTAGAGCACTCAAAATAGTATAACTTTGTCCGGACAAGTAAGGGTCTATCGTCGCTACAGGAAAAGTTACAGGCATTCCAAGGAAGTATACTTTGAGAAGCCTTTTCTCCATTATAGAATGAGATAGGACGGTTATTTTACAAAACTGACAACACTTTGACCGAGTAGTTTTTTGTGCTGAACAAAAAGTGTCATATAAACATCTGTCAAAAACCGCTTTTTAACTTCACTTAAAATGCCACGTAAGCTACGTAAGAATATACGTAAGAGGAAGGGAGCATTGAAACATCCAATAGTAAAACTGACACCACAACAACAGTTGCAACAACAAATGATGAATGACCCCACTATGTTGCAACAAATGTCAAGCAACCCTATGCTTTTAAACCGAGTTATTGGTGCACAGAGTGGAGGTTTAAGAGCGGCACTTTTAGCGAAAATGGCAGGCTATGGTGGAGCTGCAGACGGAACAGCTTATAACCCTCAAAGTCAAATGAATTTGAGTTCACTCAAAAATCAAATAACAGATGTCAAAAAGTCAAACATAGACATACAGAAACAAATAAGTGAAAACGAAAAGAAACTAGAATATGACAGACAGACAAAGAAACTAAATGAGTTAAACGTAGAGAAAAAGAAGAAAGAAGAACAACTGAAAGAACTAAGTACAGAGGAATATGCGAAAAAAGTGTCAGAAAAAGCAGCAGAAGTAGCAAAAATGGAACAAGATGTTATAAATTTGAAAAACCATACTACTCAATATAAAGTACTGAAAGATGAAGAGATAAAACAAAAAGCCATGAAGACATATATGGATAGCGATGAGTATAAAAAAGAAGTTGAAGCAAATGTAAAGGCAGAAAAACTTTTACAGTTGCAAAACCAAACCGTACAGTATGAAAACTTAGCACAAGAAAGTAAAAATAACGACGCAGCCATGCAAAAGGCAATGAAAAGCGCAGAATATATAAAAGCTAATAATGACTGGTTAGATGCCCAAGCCAACGCTAAAGCAGCCCAACTTATAGGGTCAATAAGGACAAAAATACAAGCGGATGAAGACAGTTCAAATGAAGCTTTAATGAATGCTGACTTTAAGAATGCCTTCGAAGCTCTTCATAGTAAGGTGAAACTAGTGAACGACTTCTCATCTGGAAAGAAACTGAAGTCTGAAGGTTTCGACAAAGAGTTAAGAGAAGTAGCACAAAATATGACGAAAATAACAGATGCAGCAACGAGACAGGCAGTTCAAAGTGCCTATGACGCCGTTAGAGCAACTGTTGTGGAAAGTCAAGAAAAAGAGTTACAACAGACCAAAACAGACCTAGTAAATGCTTTCTTAAAAACGAAAAGTCAGGTAGGACATTATGCTGCAGATGGAACATATGTGCCAGCTGGTGGAACTTATATACCACCAAACCCTCCAAGAGAAGCACCTGCACCAGGACTACCTAAAACATTTACATCGTCACATGGACACAGACACAGGCATGCACCAAAACCAACACAACAACCAACAGTTCAAAATCCAGCACCACAACAACAACCAAAACCAACAGTTCAAAACCCTGCACAACAACCAACAGTTCAAAATCCAGCACCTGCACCACAACCAAAACCAGCACAACAACCACCTCCACAACCAGCACAGCAAACCAACAGTTCAAAACCCTGCACAACAACAACCACAAACAGAGCAAGGACATAAAAGAAGTAGAGAAAAAGGAAACCAAGAATTCTTAAAAATGCTTAAGGAAGATTATGGTTACCCAGATACTCTTGACTTTAGTGACAGATATAAAGAAGCTATTAGAAAGTTCAAGGAAGGAAATACTGACCCGAACCTATTTAGCTTTATGGTTGAGCATCAAATCGGATATAATCTCAAACCTGGAAAATACAAGCTCGCTAAGGGATATGATTTAATAGCATATCATCCAAATGACATGAATGAATTTACTCCGAGATATTTGATGTCAGAGCTAAATGATAATTCAACTCTCTTCATGAAACGCGTAAAAAATAGAGACGGAACGAAAGAAGAAAGGTTTATGAGTCCGGATGACTTAGATAGGGAACTTGTTAAAAACGGTCTCGGAATATATGAAATGCCAGCAGATGAGGTACAAGAAACTCCACAGGAAGAAGTTCAGATACAACCAGACATGGAAGAAATAGTTCAGCAACAACAGCTAGAAGAGCCTGAAGGAAACGAACAAGTCCCTCCTTTGGAAACTAACTTCACAGAACTAGATGAAGATTTGGAACAGCCGAAAAATCTTGACCCTCAACAAGAGTATGAGGTGAATATGGAATCTTTCCAAGAGTCTAAGAAAAATTCGGCTGACATAGTAGAAGAATATCGAAAAATGTTCACCGACATACAAAAGACTCCAACATCAGATGAAAATATTCAGCATAGAATGGAAGTACTGAAAGAAAATGTACGCAAATACAATAATCCTTTTTACTTACGACCATATAACGTTCAATCTTTGGCTGAACTCGGTGAAAATAAAAGGTTAAATTTCAACAAAACATATAGAAATGAAACATTGTTTAAAGTTCATTCAGAACCTAACCAATATGGAAACAAACCTACTTTTGTTTCTGCAGACTATGGAACTACAATGAAATGGGGTCATAAAGCTAATCCGGATAGGTGGTTCATAAACTTACAACCTCAATTCCAAGAAGTTGTAGACGCAATGGAAGTGAATGGTGAACCAGATATAGGGTATTTTCAGCGCGGCTTTAATGCCATTGAAAGATATGAAAGATGCAGATATTTTGGACCAGTATGAAATGAACATGGCTGAGGGAAATATAACACCTGACGTTCTAGAACATTTATCTCAAAGAACTACACAGAACCATAGAGATGGTATATTTGGTGAAGAGTTTAGAAAGAAAGTTAGGGAGAGAGAAGGAAGAGAACCTATTGTACATGACCTTGCAAACGAAAGTTTGCAAAATGTCATAAAAACTTACTTTGCAGACAATGAAATGAGAAGGGATGAATATTTAAGAAAACTCAAATGGACAGTACCAAATGAAATGTTAGTATTGAAAAACATGTTCCATGACAAAATAAAACCAACTACAGAAATAAATGACGCAAGACTGAAACGTTGGGTAAAAGCTTTCCCATTCACAAAAGATATTATTGGTTACATGGAAAGAAAACCAGAATGGCTACAAAAACATATATTTGGAAACGAGCTTATTCCATATGGACAAGCTCTGTTTGAAGAGCTTGAACCGGAAACTCAGGAAAGAGTCATGCAAACAATAAGCGAAGACTCAAATACAAACTATGACAAAATCTTTCTAGGATATAGGTTACCTGAGATGGGCGACCAGAGCCCAAAGGCAAAAAGGACATGGGAAATTTACAACATACTAGGTGAACATGAGGCAAAGATGCTACAACTTGAAGCAGAGGGCAAGTTACCAAAAGCGACACCAAAGAAGAAGAGTAGAACAAAGTGAAAGTAGTGAAGAAGTAACTTCATCTAGTGAAAGTAGTGGCAATGAAGGAAAAAGAAGAGTTAAAGATTCAGTTAAAAACTCAGTCAGGAAGAAAGTAAAGCTTGGTCCGAGTGGGTTCTATTATGACATATAAATCCAACTATTCTATATTTTTACCCATATGAAATGTACGCCGCTCAGAATATAACGCCAACAGTTTTGGATGCCATGAACGGAAATGTTTCCGAATGGTATAACGAATGCGATAATGCCATTAGAAGGTCAGAAATAGTTCCTGGAACTTACGAATATACAACTGCTGTTTCTTATGGAAACGTAGGTGAGTTTGGAGAAGGTTCTTCAACAACAGTAGATATTGCTTGCGACAGGTTTCATATTATTTCTATTGACAACTCATTCTTATACGTGGAACAAGACATTGAAATAAAACCTTCTTCCAAGTTGTCTGACAAGAAAGGTTGCAATGGAATTTTCTATGTCGGATACCAATATGCTCCAGAAGTTTTCATGGGATATAAGATATATTCTAACTCTGACTTAGTTCAAACAGTAACATGGGCAAACTATGAATGGTTCGCTTTGAGAAACTCAGTACAACCACAAGCTAGAGAACAAACAGACCAGTATGCAACTATTGAGAAAATAAGAAGACTTGACCCTAACGTTCCAGGAGTTTATGTTAACCTTTCTGGTTCAGATGGAACTGCTGCCACTAAAGTAAAACTGAAACTTAGAGTTCCTTTGTCATCTTTCCTCATCTTCAGGTTTTTAAGATACTTGCCAAACTGGGCAGGAAAAATTTCTATCGAACTTACTCCAAGCAAAAATAACTTAGTCATTGCACCAACACAAGACCCATTCACTATTACAGACGTAAAGGGAACAAATCAAACGTCATTCGTCGAATTTTGCAAAGACAAAGTTGACTTAGACTTTGGTTTCTCAAACTTCAACAATGAAGTAAACTATTATTTCAATGCTGCTGGAACTGCTTGGGACCCAGTTAAGTTCACATGCGAAAAATTTGAATGCAAGAGAATAGAAAGCAGACTTGCAGTCTATATGTTGGACCCAGATATTTCAAATGCTTTAGCTGCCAAATATATTGCAGTTCCACTTATGTTCCCTATACACCAAATATCTGTCAAAGACTTTGCAGGTGAAGTTGGAAACCAAAATCCAGGAGCCGCAGGTGCAAGAACAGATATTGCTTTAACAACTGCAATGAAACATGCAGATACTATGTTTGTACTGTTCAGACGAACTATAAATGACTATTCTTGTTTCTACAACCCTGGTATTAAATATCATATAAACATAGATGGCAAATATTATCCAAGAGAAGAATATTCTACAGTTGAGGATATGAGGTCATACAACTTGACATTAGATGCTATGAACTTTAACAACAACTTCACAACAACTATTAACCCTGAAATGCAAAGTTCTATTATGCCATATGTGAAAGTATGGACTCATACAGGAGGTCAAAAAACTCAATATACAAATGGAGACCGTTCAAACTTTTGGCTTGGCATTCCATTTGCTGACTCAGAAGACTTTATGGGTAGTATTTCAACTGTTGGTACAGTTCAAATACAATATACTGGTGACAGAGACGGTCCAGATGAATTGAGAGCAAAGAAGTTTACAAAACCAATAGCACTTTTCACGGAAGATGCTCTTTTGAAGATTCGTTCGATGAAACCTGCTGGGGCTCCTCAGATTGGCATAACGACAGCTTCCATCGAGCAGATTTTGGCAGCAGGTCAGTAAGTTGTTCTTGAACTGACTTCTCTCCGTCAAATATTGACAGTACGCCAGTTTTGACATAATATTGTATTATAAACTTTCCTTTAGTAATATCTGTAAGTTTTGAAGTTATATTTTTGTCTGCTTCAAGAACTTTCACCATTTCAGTTATACCAACTTTCTTTGCTTTATGAAAATATTTAGGTTCAGCAAAGACTGCTATTCTATAACATTTTCCATTGTTTGTGTAAAGAACTATTCTGTCAATGTATTTGTATTGTTTGTGAGTATAAACTTTGTTCTGCTTCAATTCAATAAGATATCCGAATACGTCCATCTTTTTATTCTAAGTAAAATGTCATTTCCGAAAAATAGAAGCGTAAGTGTTTCAAAAGGTTTAATGGCGGTGGCAGATGTTAAGTTAAATTCACCAACCCAAACAAACAGTCAAAGTGTTATTGTCAATGTCAAAGACAGAGATGTTGAAGTGGGGAAACCATACGAAGACGAAGATGGTATAACAATTGTTCCTGTAAAAGAACCAACATATCCTGAAGTTAACAGAGACTTAAGTTCTGTTGCAGATATTCGAAACGACTACCAACAACTGAAAGACAAACTTCAAACTCAGGAGAAG